TCACATGGTTTTCCGAAGCCAAACATGACCAAAGAAAAGAAGAGTGGAAAAAACAAACAAAGAACAAAAATTTAAATTCTCAGCGTTACTCAACTGAATTCTGACGTGATCCCTAACAACGTTAAATAAACACCAATGTCCCAAAATTCCTCCCTGCCATGTTTGGCACATTTTTCCCTTTTACAATGGCTCGCCTAATGGTTACACGTGTCCGTCCAATCAACAGGGCATGTTTCCATGCTTTTTTTTTTTTTTTGGAGACATTTCTCCCTGCCTATACACAAGACATAAATCACTCACACCGGAGGCAATGACGAACTCCCCGCACTGCCCTGTTTATTTACACAAGCGAGAGAGATGGAACCAGATTGAACTCTGGTTGCTAGAAAAGGACCGCAACTCTTGCAAAAAATACTGTTTATAATTATATTTTGGGAATATTGCAGGACCAGTGAAGCTGGTACACATACATGTAGTCAGTACTTCACGTAAATTGCAATTTGCAGGAACAAAGCAAATCAGTTCACAAACATTGATGAAATGAAGTACATGTACTGGTACTCTGTACAATATACTGGAATGGTACCCCGTGATGATTCTGTGGCCAACGAACATGATTTTAAGTTGATTTTCAAATAGAGTCGAGTCAAACCTAACTACAGCAAATCAGGGTCAACACATACATTAAAAATGCAAATGGACATCTACAGTGGTCTCCCTACACAACTCTTCTAACAAATCTGACCCTGCTGGTTCCAGTAAATATCAGGCCTGCCACTGTTTAATCACAGACAACAGAGGGCAGCACATATGTATTTAACACTTCAAATGGACCTGAAATTGCTACATTGTACGATCCTGAACCTGACCTGAGATATTACATGTAGGTTCCCCTCAACTATTTGTGGGTTTATGACCAGAAGCAACCATCTTATCCCACCACAAAACGCAAGCTGGGTAGGTAACACTTTAATGAGAGAGAGGAAAAAAATGAAAAAAAAAAAACCCTGAAAAATGCCCCTAGCAACAAACCAGAAGAGGTTACACTACTCAGACATTTCTCATAACAGCGTAGCGTTGGCAAGCTACGGGTGTACCAGTACATGTACATGTAGTGTGTGCACTCACATGCATCAACTGGTGGCTTAACCACTTTCCCACGGTACAGCCCGCTCCCTAGATTGCATCTCAGTTGCCCCAGGTTTTCCTTTTAGCCCAGGTGAACTGTGATTGTTAACAGAAGAATTTTCTGTCAAGAGGTTCTGGAGGGAGGGGGGGTTACTAATCTGCAGCAGCTGTAAACCTGGCAAGATGTGAGAACTTATTAAAGTGAGTAAAAATGAAACATGTCCGAAGGGGGGAAAAAAGGGTTCTCATACCGTACATGTACATAACAATTTTATTGTACAGTGTAATTTGTGAGGCATTTATTAGTGTCAAGAGAAATCTTGTGCAGTACTAGCAGGACTTTCTTGTTTTTCTGTCTTTGCATGGTGAACTAATTTTCTCTAAAAACTGGTTCATTCCACACTTGGCAACATGCTGAAGGCTAGATTTTCAACAAATTTAATCATTTCTTTCGAATTTTTTATTAATTAATGTAGGCTCCTTCACCAACACTGTCAATGGTCTCTGGTGAGAATTTTCACATTACCAACTCCTTGTGAGGAAACAGTAAAAAAAAAAAAAGATTAATTTTTGTAATAAATACTGAATGTGATGACTCTTAATGATGATCTTAATTGTAGCGGGCTGGGGATTCCCCCATAATTAGTTCAGCTAAAGTTAGTTACATTATTCCAGCCTAATGTAACTTTGAACACTGCGTGTGAGCAGGGCATGATTTGGGTGGGCCCTGCACATGACAAAACGTTCTCTAGATGTTTGTTGGCCAGAAATGGCCAGATTGTGTTGCTATTGGGGGCAACTTGTTATGCTTATTCAGTGCCATTGGAGACTGACTTCAGACTCGGGAGTTGACTGTTGACTTGGCTACGGATAGCAGTACGACTACACTTGGGGTGACTGAAGCCAAGTCGACCCCAGAATGAAGATCAGGCAAATCCTACGGCAGTGTCATCGAGGCTCCAGTAGTTACCCCCCGGTATTCCCATCGTCCGTCCCTCTCTAGCCTCCCCCTTCCTTTTTTTTCCTGCCTCAATTCAGCCTCTGATTCCTCCTTCAATGGCAGACGGACTGCCGCCCCCAAGCGATCGGCCGAGGGCCGGACCGCTACCGGTGCATTAAACATTCAGGGCACAAGCAAGTAATTTTTTAACCCTCTTTTCCCCCTGACCAACCTTCCCTCAAGATAAAAAAAAATAAGATGACAACTATAGGGCCAATTTGTTGCAGACGGATCAGAATCTCGGTAAAGGAATCCATCGCTGGTTCACTGGCACCTGAACAAGCCTCATGGATGATGGAGCAAACTAACGTAGGGATCACTGATCGAGATCTGGATCTGAATGAAACCAACAGACCCTTAGAATAAACTACCCTACGAGGAGCGGGCGCCCTAAGCCAGAGAACTTGAGAAGCATGTGACACACATGAGTGGGGGACAACGCAAAGCAACACTGGTGTCAAAAAGTCAACAAGGGGCAGCCTGATTGGAATTTCTGCGGACTTTGAGCTTGTTTACAAAAACAACTGTCCCCGTGAGTGTGTAATGCTACATCGGGACTGCCGACGCCATGCACACGCCTACTACGGATGAATAAAGAGACAGCCAAATTGACATAAAACAAATCCATGTTTAGCGAGCTCGTACATGAGCGTAATAAAATTGTCCGTGACATTTATCTATGTGCAATTTCTCCAGAGATCTTCAAATGGTCTCTTTTTGAACCCCTTAGGGCACCTGAGCTATTTTGTTACACATGGACATTATGGAAGACAATTTTAAGAACAGATCACACTGATGAGATTGGTTTCTTCTCTTCTTCTTTTTTTTCAAAGGCACAGCAAAGTTTGATATCTGGAACAGGACGTCAAACAATTATAACCTAATGGCACTTCAGCTCAGCAAAATTGTGCTAAAACTCCTAAACCTGTTGAAATTTCAGCTACATGTTTGACAGAAGGGGAAAATACCGGTAAGAATGAGTGAGAAAAAAGCAATAACAATCTATGCAAGTATCCACACTGTACACTAGGCCTCGCTCTTGGGGAATCGGTAGCATCTGGACGGCAGTAAGCTTAATTGATGGACCATCAAGACATGTTCCGTACTTCACATGTGCAAGCTACTTTACTAGTACCATTTGTACATTTCGACATGTACCGCGATGCATAATGAATCTGTACAGCATCATTCAGATTCATATCTGCTCCAATAGTTATTTTCTCATACACAATTCTGAAAGTGCTTCATCTAATGTCTACGTGTACATGTATACACATGTACGATGGAAATTCTGATCAGAAATTTATGTACACCTGCATGTACAAGCTCAAGTCAAGTGCAGGTTTAGTGAAGGTCAACTAAAAAAAAAAAATTACCATAAAAAAATGTCTGGAACTGCAACAGAAGAAAATAGTTTCATCGGGCAGATTTAAGGAATTTTTTAAAATAATTAACCCTGACTAAGAAACTGATTTCTGGTAAAATGAGCCGTCCACTTTAGTCAAATTTCAGCGACAGTGTTCCTTAGGGTTTTGCTGAGCAGGCAATAGGATACAGCATGAGGACACTTGATTATCAACCACCGTCGCCATTGCAAATGCTGCACGGCCTACTCCATAGTGCACCAAGACTGTTTACGTAACTATGAAAACAGAAGTAAACAAGATCAGATCTAATTAATTGGTGCCAACTGATCAACAAAGCAGGACCTTCTGGCTGTAATTGCGTCCCACCATCTCCCGTCAGGAATCCGTTGATCCCCCCGGCTGCATCCGACAATCTCTCTGTTTTTATCGGCGGTGAAATTTCAGTGTAATAAACACGTCGGCGGACGCAAACCGATGTGACAGCTGGGGTCACAAGCACATTCACTCCATTAACAAGCCGCCGAGGCTTGTAATAAATCCAGCCAAACATCAGAACCGCTGAGGCTCTGCAAGAATTTCTTCGGTTAAAGCATGCACTACTGGCTACAAATTCATACCCTAACAAGTAACAATAGAACACCCTTACAGATGTAAAATGATGGGATTCCTTTCTCTGAGACTTGCCCCATAGTCCTAGGGTTAGCAATTGCAAGGACCACAAAACTCTTCAAGTCCAGTTCACACATGAATAAGCTTTTATCCTATTGAAAGATCTGTTATCAGACACACGACAAAAATCAAGTCCTTGCATTTTGCAGCAATTTTCGAGTCACACAGTGTATTCATGACTTGTACATGTACCGGTAGCAAAAATGATTTCTGACAACTTGAAGACTGAAGCACGCGTGCGAATGTGAACTTCCCTTGATGAGCATGTGTTGACACATACTTTGTACTCGCTGCAAAACATCACACCAGTTTCTCATGGTACACATTGCTGCATGCGCAGCTTGCCACCGCAAGCAGGAACCTAGGTACATTTGTACATGTATCTATGTTCTGGTGCCAGCATCATATCAAATAATTTCTCAGCAATGTCAGAGTAGACAGGCGAGAAATTTCTAGCCAAATGATGCGTATCTGCACAACATCTAGGTAAAACACACAGGTTTACGTTACATACATACTGTGGACATTCCTTTGTTTTCGTGCAGTTAAGAAAGCTCAGTGAAAATACTTGTTTTTCTTGAACTAGGAACAAGATTTTCAGCTTTTTTTTGTACAGGGCTTCCTCGACTATTCCTCTTCCTTTTACCACCGATGACCCCTACCCCAAAATGCCTCTAAACCTCTTTTCCAGAGAAGGGAAAACCTTGTGTGGACATGTGCAAGTCCACACAATGCCATCGTACCCTGCATTATATGTGGACTTCTTTCGTGCAGAGGTCCACACTATGTATGACACGCCTGGACACGCACACATACAAAAATCTCGTCACACTAACCATTTCACGGCAGATACATCAAGTACCAGTAGATACATGTATCCCATACAATCCAAGAATTGGGATGTCATCCTCCTGCCGGCAGTACATGTATCACCAGCGAGCAATACCTGGACAAGTGTCCATGTACAGGAGGGTACCGAGACCTCCTCTCAAACCAATTCAACGGTGACTGGACACCCTCATCTCATTACGTTCTGCCAGTCAGGACGTCGAGATCCAGACTGAATGGTTACCTCTCCCCTGCTATTCCCTCCTCAGACTGATGTTTTCTCAAATTCTCCTCTGCACACCGTGTAAGGACTCCCAGTGGCAATGACCTCTGACCCTGACAGCCCTTGCAATGGAGGCGGGAGACACAGGGGCCACTCAAGGTATCTAATAAAAGCATAATGCTTGGTAACAGGCATTGTATTGGCCTGCTGGATAAAATGTTACGTTTGTTACAAGTGACAGCATTTTTTAGGTTTGTCTGTCTGCTTTTTAAAAAAAGTTCAGAGGTGATTTAAATTTTTAGAAGCACAAAGGATTTTTATCCGTTCAAAAACAAAAAACAAGCAGGTGTCAACATTCAATTAAGATAGATCTGTACATATGATAACCCATGTGCTTGTGAAAAGAGATGAAAAAGGCTTGTGAAAAAGGGACTGCCGAACAAGAAGGCGGGTTTGATTTTCTAGCCAACATCCATGCACTTCTAGTTCTACCTAGTGTATACAGAGACCAGCTTTCAAAATGTCAACTGACTCTTTTGCACTGTGCCTTGTCCATGAACACATGTACATGTACACTATAAGTTTGTACCTGTCAACACACGCACAATATCTTCACAAGTTACTGTCTGCTAACAATTCAATTATCGCTTTTAGCACTCTGTCACTTTGCAGAGAAATGTCACGGCATTCTCGGCACGAAAGTATGCAGCGCGCCTGCTGTGCAGCCAAAGCATGCTGTCAATTTCCAAACGATTCTTAGACTGGCATGAATGTACATCTACTTATTTTAGATTCGCACACCATCCCACCAGATCAGTTTCACTGGCAGAACAAGGGTTTACTTCTTTTCACTGCGACTCTCTAATTGATCATGACAACTGGTGATGGCCATACAGCAAGGCCAGGTGGTGGCAAGGTTGATCACAAAGGCCTCTTTCCAGGAAACTCTCTCCAAATCAACCCCAAAACCTGTGACACCGCCCACAAGTCCAGGGCTTTATATGAGACTTTAACATTCAGCCTTTTTAGAGTTACACAACCAGTGCTGTTCTTACTAATTTCCTGTCCATTGAATTCTGGGTCTGGTATTTCTCAGAAATTTGACAGCAGTGTCTGGTGGGTTATTGACCCCACGGGGAGAGAAGGTCATGACCTGTTCTGAGCATTACACATGAGCCAGTACCCACTTGATGACGATCAATTAATGATGCATTACAACATGATGTGGCCAACTGCACATGACTGGGCATGGTTACATGTACATACAATGTACAGTACAGTACATGTACATGTGAGCCTGTACATGCCTTGGTCCGCATGAGAGATGGTACAGGTGGATTTGTCAGTGACAAGAACTGAGGAGCACAGAAGCCTGCTAAGCACAGCTACAAATTTGCTTAACAAAAACCACCGACCAAGCAAAATATCAGGTATAAAACGGATATCAAGTAGTGTACTAATGCAGATACTAAAATGTTCAGGAGTGCGATGGTTGGATTAATTTCATGGTGACAGGTGAAATGTTCCATGGCACTCGGCTTGTGCGGTACACACTGGAATACTGGTCGCCGAGCTACACAAACAGTACAGTAGGCCCATACGAATTAAATGCTGGCTCTAGGTTCAAATCCGGTGACGCATCTCTCACACACAATGACACGTACCCACACACGCGCGCAGATCTCAGTTCATCCCATCATTGCCTACACGCATGTTCCTACAACCGCCAGATCAGAACACGTCAACCTCCGCGCAATCAAGCCATCTAACAATATTTACCCAGCAGATAGCGGCGGGCTTAATTCGCCTCGGAAATTGGCCCCGGCGTATGCTTACGCTACTCCACAGTGGGGACGGACAAGGTTGCAATGCAAATGAGGGTATTTTTCTACAACTCTATGCAGCTACATGTAGCGGTATCCTGCAAACAGGCAATTAGAGAGAATCACCCCAGTGCAGTAGGCCCAAAGCTACATGTACCTGCTTACTTATCAGCTGATAATGGCATGGGATATGCTCTGTATACCTGTGCGTTATGGGGGAGGGGAGGACACACAGGTGTGCTCTAGAAGGGCGATGATGAGTCACACAATTGAATGGAATTTACATGCTGCATATCTGATGCATTTCTCGATAATACAAACACACTTCATGCCTACGCATTCCATACATTTGTTTGTATGTGTCAGATATGTGAGGAAACTATTAAGGAACCGAATTTACATGTACATACACGTAACAAATTTAAGATATTTTTTAAGTTTCCAGTTACAATGTTCGGTTTACACTGGCACTGAAACCAGTTATTAATATGACTTCTTGTAAATTCGACGGGGATCTCTTCACATAAACATCTGTGAATAAACTTTGTATCTAGTTACCGTACAAGTAAAACTATGTACATTGTGCAGCTGTAACAAGTTACCTTATGTTGAAGAGAAAGTGTGAAAAAAAATCACTTTTTAATAGAACACCTACATGTATATTTATAAAATGGTCTGGGAAAAAAATGCAGAATCATTCAACCTCCAGGCTCCAGATGGCATTTGTATGGCAAACCAAGAATTTGAATGGCTGACGAATGCAAGCATACCTAAATTGAAACCTCGCAGAGCTTTGCAGGTACATGCACATGAACTGTACACAGGGTACTAGTACATGTATCAACCTTCATCAATCCTTACAGTAAGGGCTTCAGACACTGGACAACACTGGACAATATCCTCAGGAGGGGATTAAAAACTCAGGACCACCATAGAGGAGTAACACAGCAGACAAAACCACAGCTTTTAATCAGCCATTATTCTGTGCCAGTGAGCAAGATCTTTAGTGTGTCTGTTGTATTCAAATCATGATTCCCCATCAGGTAAACATCTTCAAAACTCAAGTAGAAAATTGCATCTTTAGGCTGGTGCCCTTGAGGGGGGAGGGGAAATTTGTGTGCTTTGTCTGAACAAAGGTTTTGTTAACTGGGGATGGGGGGGGTGTAAAATCACCCCAAAATCGTTTGTTGTTCAGATCCTAGGGATTAGAGTAGGACTGTGCTTGCAAAGGCTGTAAAAATGTCTGAGCAAACACTCAGCTGGCGTCACCAGACTACTGAGTCTGTCTGGCCAATGGGTGATAATTTGTCGCCTGCAAAATAACTGTGCCTTTCTTCCTGTGTCACTAATTAACAAATCACCCATAACACTGGCGGGAAAAACAAAGAGAAGAAATGTTTGCTATTTCACTTCCCAGGAAGTGAACGGGTATTTCTCTGCTTCCACATAAATGCAATGTAACACTTGTGAAGTGTCACGCCCATACATATACATGCCCTGATATTCTGGTACATGTCATCACCAACACCAGGAACTGACACACATCTTCACTTTTGTCCCAGTTAGTGAAAAGTGTGATTAGAGCAGTTTTGGTTTCACGAAGAAGCACAAGTGTGTGTTTTGTCAATAAAGCATAGACAAAAAAGCTTTAAATGTGTAAAATGATTTTATTTTACCCATAAATGGGTAACTAAACTGAAAAAAAATGCTCTTAAAACTCGTAACTGTGTAAATTAAGGAGAACGTCAATTTCTGAATACGGCAAATCACAGAGCACGTGATGCAAGACATTTGTGCCTCTTCGTGAAAATGAAAATATCACATTTCTATAAAATACGAGTTGAAGCGCGCACACATCTACAGATTTGTGATACTTCGTGGTATTGGTGACGATGTAAAAAGCCTGAAATATGCTGACATGGCCAGGTACCTGATGAAGCTGCGACGACTGTCCTCAAATACCTGTTTGTTAAATTTGTTTACACAAATGAACAAAAGCAAATATACGAATAATGGCAAACGCATGCCAGTTTATTCACTCATTTGTAAGTCTGTCCTTCCCCGTTCCTATCATGATCATATGTACGTGTACAGTTATGATAGCTGCCACTCTTGTAATAAGAAAGCCGACTGTGCCAACTGCCAGCAATGACCCACTCAACTAAATTTAGAATCTTTAACCCGGAGCCCAAGCTGTGCTGACTGATGGGCGGAGGAAATTGAAATGAGATTGAATCATGATGAAAAGTTCTCCCAGACCGAGGACCGAAAACAGGGTCCAAATTTAATGCTGACACACAGAAACCACACCAGCCAATTATAGGTGGTGACTGTAATGTGTAGGTACTTTTCTGTACACAGACTGACACCCTGAGTTCACAAGATCCACACAATGAAACAGAAACAGACTTTTGTTCACCCTTTAGCTGACAAAACTCTCCGTACGTACATGTACAATGTACATGAGTAACTTCCACATATATAGCAACGCTGAGGTTCTTACGGGGTTTCACCTGCCATGCAAAGATCGTCATTTGGACGGTGCATTTTACTTCAGTCTTTTGCATTTAAGGCTGTGGGAATGCGATGCCATGGGACAAAGTTGCCAAATTCCAAAAAGGGCGGGTCCCATGCTCAGGTCAGGCGTTTTTTTCTTGTATCACCCACAGGGTTCACTCTTACTACATCACAGTCACATTTCTGCCTTACCAGTTGCCGATAAAAAACGACGACTGGTAGTCAAAAGGCAAAGGAATAATTTACATACATGTACATGTACAAACATGTACCACATGTTAAAATGTCTCATATGGCTGTCATTGAAACATCGAGTAGATTTAAGGTAAAATTTGGCACTAATAAAACATAGAATTTCTGCAAAATTTGGCTTCCCCGACAGGCACATGTACACATGGCAAAAAAGGAAGAGAGGTCTATAACGTGAATCTTCAAACCTGGGAGGAAAAAAAAAGGAATGTGATCAACATGTCACTTTTCATTCACAAGCTGGAAGTACATGTACAGCAGGATCTGTGAGGGAATATATTGTCACAAATATCTTGGGAACCGGTGCGCATGTACTGGTACTCCGTACATGTAACTGTTCTATCGTCATCATTCCTGTAGGCCCATCTGCCTCGAGCAGAAGCACCCCCTCATCGGTTGAAAAGAGCTGCGTCATTCGGGAGTGTTCATTTTGTTGGTAGCGAGGCGACTGCTATGCTTGCAATTCACAGTCTTTC